AGTCTTTGCTTTCTTAACTATTCTCCAGCACAACTCCTTTAGAATTATTTTGTTTCTTCAAGTTTTATTCAGACACTTAAAATTTTAAAATTTAAACTGGTATATTAAAAAGAAGTATCTACAAAACAATTTATGAGCGGTTTTGAGGGCACATGGATATCTAAATAGCCTCCATTTTGTATTTAGTATTTTGAATATTTCTAATTACATCCTTAACAGCATCAGCTGTAAGAAACAATTATAGATCAAAGAGGTATATTCATAATTATCATAAATTGTCAAATTATTACTGGGCATCTCATGATCCTCCAAGAACTCTAAAACAGTTGTCAATATAAAACCAATATAAACTAAATACAGCTTATATGCAGCCAAATATCAAAGTTCCCAACATCCCTTTAGTTGAATGTTTGTTAAACTCCCTTTTCCACAAAAGTTTCAAGAAGAAATGTGGCAAGTGTTTCTGCTGGCACACTTTGCTGCTCTGTGTAAGGCTCTGCTTTGATTTTAAAGGAGGAGACAAAGGGATTTCCAAACCACCATTATACAAAATCTTTCAGTTGAAAGTAAAGGTCAAAGGATTCCGCATGTAGTGTACCCATGGCAAAATTACTTCCTGCAGGTTTCAGAGGGAAAAGGCAACTCTTGGCAGCACTTTTGCACTTTACAAGACCTTACAATTAAGATCTGCTTCTGAGGCATTCAAATTCAGCCTCTTCCACCTCCAGATCTTACCTTTTCCACATTCTCTCACACAGGAATCCCTTAAGGTTTTACTTGATTCACTGCTGAATAAAAGTGTCTCATTCTGCAGAGCTGCAGCTGCATCTACACTACTCAAAAAGCTAAACACATGCTTGACTCTTCCACAGTTCAATTTGTCTTGATCCTGTTATCAGGCTAGAAGATCACAAACTAGCATGCTAGTATGCCTTATAGTACACCAAACACAGAGAATTAGGCTTGTATCTAAAACTTGAATTGTGCTTGTTGATTATCAGGAAATTAAGCTTTACATATATCTGATGATGCAGAAAGTTCCAGTATTATAATCAATATGAATCATTAAAAGTGGAGTAGGAAATCCTCTTTGATGTTCTGTATTATTCTGTATTTGATGTAGTCTTTTCTACATTTGGCTAAATAAGCTTGTTCAGCAAAAAAAGTGAAGTTTTTATCTGCTCTTTTACCTCTTTTATCCCAACTTTATTCCTTGGTTCTCTAACATACTCTTTTGCTAATTACTACATTACTGACTATTACTAATTGCTATATTATGTAACTGGATTTCTCTGCCTTTTTGTAGGTCATTTTTTTTCCTAATAAAACAAATAAAATGAGTCTCAAGATACTTAGAGGTTTAAATGTGTGTCAGCTAGTTGTCAGTCTGTTTTACCTTTGCTCCTAAAGAAAGCCATAGTTTGTCACTGCTGCTACTCCTACATAATTCCAGCTCCCTTTACTTTGACATCAGTGACCAGACTTTCTGTAGGGGCTAACATTAGCCCGAATTATTAGAATTCTCTCTTGATTTCACTCTGATTGCAAACACTTCTAGGGTTCTTTATACCAGAAGTATCTTCTCTCTTTTTTTCTCAGCAACAACATAGCTTTTTAACTCTCCTCAGCAGATCCACTGTGCACGATCTAGTCATGGGGCAAGGAGAGAGGAATGACAGGATTTCTCTCATCCCCCATCCTTAATTTGTCAGCAGGAATTCCTGCATCTGAGCACTGGTGGGAATGGCCAGAGGAAGATGCTGCTCACCAAACACAGCACCACCAATTTGTTTGCCAGAATGGTGGGAGTGAAAAGCAGGGAGCAAGGCAGAGAGGTTCAGAGAGATTTGATGAGGGAGTTTGGGAAGTGATTCCAGAAACCAGCTCTACAAAATGGGAACTGTGTGAGTCCAGCATGTGGCTCGCTCAGCTCCCATCTTGCCCTTCCCTCTTCAGAGTACATCTTGCTTAACAATTTAGAACTGGGAAGCTTAGCTCTTATGCCAAACAAAAAACTAGTCACAGAAAAATTCTTTTAATTGAGGGAAATTACACAAATCAGGCTGGGCTTGCAGAAGCACAGTATGGTAAAGGGCTAATTTTGCCTCTGGTGCAACACTCTTGTGCTACTGAGCATTTTTTCTTTATTTATATAGTTCAGGTTTTCCATCATGTCAGCATCTACCAGCACTGAAATTCAGACTTTAGTATATATATCCTATTTAGTACAAGTTTACTAGTACCCAATAAGCAGAAATAAATAGTTGTTCCAATACCAGAAATTAATTTACCTCATCCTTAATGCCTACAATGTTTTTCTCTCATCTGCTTAGCTGTAAATATTCCTATGAAAGTTAATATATTACTTGCTTTTCTTATGTCTGTCCTGAAACCACACTTCAGCAGCTTCTGAAGGAAGTTATTTAAGGAAATGTCTTTTGAACCCTACTAAACTAATGTATACAAAATATTATGGAAGCAGAATAATTATTGTTCCAAAAATAATGAGGAATGTATAAGAATAATAGAGATACAATCTTTATCAATCCTGAGTTAAAATTATAAGGAGAATAAATTTCATATTTCAGCAGCTTCTAAAAACACTGAGATCTGGAATTAAACTTTTCCCACAAACTTCTTAATGCATGACTATGCACCACAGAAGGGGATGTACCTTCCTCTAAAGCCTCTAGTACTGACTTCCAGAGGTAGAGCAAAGCTAGAGAGATACAACACTGGGTGCCTATTTTAATATTTCAATATTTAATAGAACTTATATTTTTATAGCTTTTGCCTTCTCAGTAAGGAATGATATTGGATATTTTTTCTTAAGTAATCAAGAGAGACATAAAGATGCTGTTGACCTGTTGACTTCTATTTAAAGGAGGAAATAGAAAAGTTAAAAGAAAATTCTATGTGCTAGCTTTTCTGAATGTGGCTTAATGCCTACTTAATGATAATTTTCTCAGGCATGGCACTCATGAGTGCCTGCTTGTGCCAGCTGAGAAGTCTAGAAAAATCAAAGTCACTGTGCACTGTACAGAACATTACAGTCACCATTCAACATACATGTTTCAGTTCATGATTTCTAAAGAATTTCTGTAGAAACCAGGTATATAAATTTTACTTACTTGTTTTCTGTCTCTAGATAATATAGGAATTTAATTAAGGGGAATTGAAGTAGTGGTAGTAAAAAAATGAAGACAGAACTCTCACTTGGCTTATGAGATTTATGGTTCTCATATGGCTTTGAAACTACACAATGTTAAGAATGCATGTTGAATTACTACATATATGTGAAAATTCAGTGTCTAGTTCCACAGGTTCGTTGATAGAATAAAAACTCACTTTCAAGTATTGAAACTACACTTAAGCAGAAGAATAAATTAACTGTTTATTTCTGGAGACATTGTTTGATATGTGCAATAAATAAACCACCATATTCATCAAATAATTCCATTTATAATTTTCCTCTTTAATACATTCCGATAATACTGAAGGCAAAATTTTAATTAAAGAGATAAAAGATGTTGAGTGATGCCCAATAATATGGTGTAGGTGAAATGGAAAAACAAGGGTAATAAATACTTCCTTAGGTAGTCATGTTCCATCTCACTCCTTTACATGAGAACCAATTTAATCTGCACCAGTCCTACTTCTGAATCAAATTTCAGCTAAGCATTGAGAGAGCAGGAAAATCAGCAGATTAATTCTGGTTGTACATACAATACATAAAGTCATATTTTTGTGGTGCATACAATCACAACACTTACGATAAAGGCCACTCACAGTGTTACGCTCACCTCTCAAAGGCAACACCTTTCACAGCCAACAATATAGAAATACTTTCCATAAGTGTCACATAGAAAACAGCTAAACACAACAATACCCAAGTCCCTCTTACATGTTAATAAACATTCCTATGCTTTGTGCAGTTAATACTACATTTGCAAAACACCCAAATAACCATGCAGCACATCTACAGAATTTTAAAGTATCTTAAGCCATTTCCGTGGTTTTGCTTTTGTCAATTCTATTTTCAGTAGTAGGGCTTTCCATTTGGAAATGGACTTTGCTAAAGTGCTATTTTCCCACACTGAAATGTACACTCTAGAAAGTAATTATATGAAGTGTATTAGTCTAAATTATCTGCAAAACAAATAATTAATTATAATAATAGTTAATAATTTATAATTAATAAATTTGATGGTTTATTTGCATTCAAATACTAAATGTCTCATTTTACAGTAGCTTTGCCAATCCTGGGAGCAAGGAAAAACAACCTGGAAATAAAAGTCTAAACCAGATATCGTTTCCTCAGCCAAATTTTATAGGTCAGAAGTCTCGTGTTTTCCACTTAAAATGCGACCTCAATTAATGAAGTCTTTTAGAGGACATTAAATTAGTTTTGCATAATAGAAATTTAAATTGAAAATATCTTGATTATTTTAATTAACATACTCTATATGACATGACCCTGTTCCAGAAAGCAGGAAATTTTGGATAGTATATTTAAGGTTATACTGCTACGTAGATATTCAGATTCTTGGCCATCTGCCACAGCTGGGGTAAAAGCTTTTGTTGATGTATAAAATACTTTTCCAAGTGCTAAAAAGCCACTATTAAGCTAAGTAACACTGCATCTTCCAGTTCTCAGTGGATCAAGATAACTCTCTGTTCAACTATATAAGAGCCATGAGCAAGTTTCAATAGCTCTCATGCCATCTGTCACTCAATAAACATTTTTTTTTCTTTCTTTGAGTTTTTAAATCATGGCACTATTGTTCATTCTGATAGACAATTACACTGGTTCTTTCATTTGCTTTAACTTATCCTTCTTAAATTTTAATAATCAAGAACACTGTATGTTAAGGGTTTTGCTGCACATTTCCAAAATTTTATTGAAGAAACAACCTGGCACTCATCTATTACTTTCTAATAGGATGTTGGATATTTCAGTTTAGCATATTTTGTTGCTTTTCAAAATAAAACTCCCTTGCCTTAGAATGATAATCTTGTTCCAGCCTGGAATCTGATCCTGCTACCTGTTTGTACTTGCTCATTTTCATTTGGCGATTCCTTTCTTCTACATCCAGTGCACCTGTTAAGTTAAAAACAGAAGGAAAAAAAGAAAATAAATACACACGCAGTCATCACTTTCAAGGTTAAAATTATGCTCATGGAAGTTTTAAGAGAAAGAGATGAAATTTGATTTACTTAAGTTCTGTGCATGTAATTTTAGTTCCTGAATTATGATTTTGCAGAAAACCAAAGAATTGCAACAGGAGGAAAATAGCAGATAAGTATTTCAGCAGAATCTTAATAAGTGTTGTATTATCTACACAATTCAAATGAAGCCAACTTTGTGAAAAAAACTCAATATAAATGAAACACAGTGTTTCCACGGAATATAATTCTATTATTTTAAGAATATTCAAGAGAAATTGAGTCTTTTATTTAATAAGGAGGAATGCAAAGATAACCTGTTTATTTTGGGAAGAGATTCTGGTTCTGCATTTATCATTGTCTGACATATCAAATTAATAATCAAGTAACAGCCATGGACTAGCAGACCTTTCATTTACTATTTCAGTATATTCTTAGTATGCTCCAAAAATTCAAAGAATGACTAAAGGAATCTTAAAGAGCCACCCAGTGGCATCACTGTATTACATTCTAATGAAGCACAGCTTCAAGAACAATTCCAGGATTCACTCATCTTGGACAACACATGTGATTGGCTTTAGTCAGGGATGGGGTCTCACTACATGACTCAGCCAGTAGCTGCTTTCAACAAACTGGTACTGTACCACAATTTACAATGTAAAATAATAAGGAAGTGCCAAAGCTGAGGTGGAAGATTGAGAAATAGAAAAATTAGAGGAAGACAACAGCTCAGAAAAGATTTTCAAACATAATTTAATTTGCTATCATTCCCACATAAGTATGATTCTTTTCTACTTTAACCTGGTATAAGTCAAGAACAAATCATTATCCACCAAATGCTAAAAAGCATTACTTTTGAATGACATTTGTCCTAAAATATCCATAATTTTAATGCAAAAGTTATCTAGGATAAAAATTTCAGGATCCCGCTAATCATAAACAGAAGCTTCTGTACATTGTAAGTATTAAGCAATATGGACTGCATTTATGGAACTGAGATGGGAATGTTAGGTGCCAGTGTACTACAGAAACCTGGTGTAAACTCTAAACCTCAGTTGAAAGTAATGATCTAACAGCAAAGTGGGGCTTGGGACAGAACCTGGGCCTCTCAAGTTTGTGTTTTCTTTTGTGGGAACAATAGGGGTGGTAGCCCATACTGTGAGAGCTGCCAGGTAGGGGTTGTGGTGCTTCATAGGAAATCTGGAAGGAGAGGAGGTAAAAGGAAGTGGGAATGCAAAAACACTAAGCTCTTCTGTTCTCTATAAACTCTCTGGCTTCTAGTTTTTGTATTCTGACTCTCGAACTTTACAACATGAAAGAAAAGACTGCATGAAAAATTATAAGAGAAATTAAAATGAAGAAAAATTAATGAGAAAGAATAAATGGTGCTTTATAGGAAGAAATAAATTGAAAGAGAGAGCAGCAGATGAAAATTTCTAAAATAAAATAAAATTTTTCCTATCATAATTTTCCTCAACTATTATAGAACCCATAGCTCTGTTTCTCAATTTATCATTAAGTGAAATTTTTAGGATCTAGTTTTAAAAGCTCTATTTTTTTTCTCTTGAAAACAAAAAGTTACACTGGAAATTTTTTTTTTCAATGACAGAAGTAACACATACGTTTTTTGAAGTAAAATACTCCAGCCTCCTCTCAAAGAAAGAAATCATCTTTTGCTGAAATCAAAATCTTCTTGTCATTTTTCAGTAATGTAAGAAAGGAGACATTTTTCTCAAAAAGGGGCATTTTTTCAATTTTTTTTAATGTTTTATTATGAAACCGTGGCATTTTTTCTCTGTCTCCAGACATTCTGCCAAATTTCAGGAAAGTGCAAGTGAAGAAATAACAGGTCCTGAGCATAAACTAGAAACTTCACAATTACTTGAGAAAATATTCATTCTTATCTATGATCAGTCGGCAAAGTGAAAGTTAGATTTCCATAAATCCAATTGCCTATGATATGTACAAAATATGCCATTCAAAAGGGAAACAAAAGATATAAGGCCATGGTGTGAGTCCTCTGCAATAAAACAAACAAAATTTGTGCCTTATTTTTTCTCAAGAGAAAAACAAGACAGAAAAATATTGAAAAAAATTATTCAATTCCCATAAAATCTTATTAAAGGAAAATCTAACTTCCTTTGTATTTTTGAAACTGTCTTTAACATGTGAGAGGATTCAGTTATGAGCAAAAAGCGGAAGGGCCGAGGGCAGTGGATAGTTCATGAGGAGCAGAGAGCTCTGGTTCTGCTGTGCACGGAGCTGACAAGCAGAGAGTGCAGGGTTGCTGCGTGCCCCAGGCTGAGCTCGCTGGCACTGCAGCCAGAAGCAGCTGGGACCTGCCTGGCAGCAGGAAAGGCTGCAGAGCATCCTGGCACTACCCATTCCCCTGGCCCAGCATGAGAGCCTGTCATACTGAGCGCTGGGAATGCAGGGCTACCATCACCTCACTTCTGCTGGCAAACCTCTGCTCAGCTCACACCTACATGGGAGGGCTTAGCAGGAGAAAAGATACTTCTAGAGGGCTCAGTAACCCTCTGAGTGCATTAAAGCTTCAGCTTTTAACATGAGTTTGGTAACCAAGGCAGAACATTGGTCCTACCCAAGGACTCCACTGCAGGCAGGAGCTGTTCATGGAGCATGAGTCAACAAACCAGAACTAACCTGAATCTAACCATTAGTTATAAACAGTGCTTTAAATGTAGGAGCATAGCTTTCACACACCTGAATTACAAGGGCTGACTGAGCCCTTGTGTTATTAGATCCTGAGCTGGAGCCCAGTACAACACATTTTCAGGGCTATAAAGACTGGCACTAGAAAAGTTAAAGCTGCTTCTGATATACTGAAGTGCTGCCACAATATATTGAAGTGTATGCAACCAAATTTTGGCCAGGTAAAGTGAGTTCATTTCTTCATGAACATCCTTCCAGAATTTTGCTTATAAACAGTAGTTGTGCCTCCAACAGAACTATCCAATGAGACACTAAAATTCCAGCCATATGAATGCAAAAAATTAAGACTGAAGGGAAGAACAAAGCCTGGTGCTGCTCACCAGACATAACTGGGGGCATTGCACTGTAGGCAACACTCTGGAGTTTTGGTTATTTTGAACTCTCTAGCATTAAATACCCGTGGCCTGAAGGTTAGTTCAGTGGGGTTTCCATGGGCACAAGGCAATTCTTGGCTGACAGAGAGACAGCTGCTGATTCATTACCAGCTACTCCCCATATTTTCAGAACAGAATATGCTAAGGGAAAGTAATATAACTACAGAGCAAAGACTCCTGAAATGCCAGAGTAAGCACAGAAGAACTGTGTAGTGCAGCCCTGTAATCTCTCAGATCCACAAGGACTGCAGTGAGAGGCTGCTGTGCCAGAGCTTAGCTCTGGTGATTACAGTAAATTAAACCTTGGGCCATGTGAATTTGATGCTTGCTTTTATCTATGGAAATGTAACCACTAGAAAATGAACTGTAATTTCAACTTTAGCTATAGGGTATTTTGTAAACAAAAGTAGGGATATTTCTCAAGACACAGATAAAAGGGTGCCTGGAGGCTGTGGGAGTAAATCAGAAGAGAAGAACCCAGATGCTGCAAACAGGATTGTATGAGCAGGAATGCAGTCAGAAAATGAAGCCACCTATAGAGACTATAAAATCCAGTAACAAGCAACAGGCAGGGCCCCAAATAAGAGGCAACCAGCTTGAACTCCAACTACTATTGCCAATTAAACATAGTAGAAAAAGGAACTCTACTTGATTCTTTTATTGAACTGGAAGCTAGGGAGAAGTCCTATTGAGGTAAGGTCCACATAATTCCTACCATGGTCTAGGTGGTGGCTGTATAATTCCATTCCTGCAACAGGACTCAGTACAGGCACTAAAACCACTGCTTCAGCTTCAAATAAAAAACATTATTTTCATGTTTTAACTTGAAATAAGCTAAGATGTGACAAGATAAGATTCAGCTACTTCACCACTAAAGTGAAAGGCTGCAATCAGTGATTTGGTTAATACCTAACTTTTCTTAACCCCTGAGCTGCTCACTGAGTCATAGTTGTACAAGGAGATAAGCCATCATTGAATTCAGCCTAGAGCTAAAGACTGGTATTTTCTCTTCAGGTCAAATACTGGCTACTCTCCTGGGTGAGATTCTTCAGCTGATAGCCTGTGAGCCACACCAGAGACAACAGGAACAACAAATGGCCTTATCATCCAGCTAAGGCAAACCTATCTGGTTAAAAATCATAACCAGCTGTGACCTCTGCACTTTCATTCTTTCATTGTCTTCTGCCGTGGGACTTACTAACCATTCTAGTTCCTAGAGATGCTGGTGATGGAGATCCTGCTGCAGGAACTGAGTTTGGAAGAGGAGTTTGCTGTACAGTGAGGCATCTGTGGCACAAAGAATTAAAGGGAATCTGGTATGGGAGAAGAGTGAAGTTTCCCTTATAGTATTAGAAGAGATTTAGTTTTGAATACATGTGGGCAAAAGGGATAGAAAATTTGGGAGGCACAGCCATTTATTAAGGCATGGCGAAAAAACTCTTGATGAGGGGACTAAAGTCTGATAAAGACTGACATTTTGGAAATCAGAAACCTCTAATAGAGCAGAAAATCATGTGCAGATGAGCATGCTCTATGTCTGGAGAGGGGAGGACAGAACAGAGATCTTAAAGTGTATGATATCTGCATTTAGCTGATTCTGGTCTCTTTCTTACCATTTCTCACCCTTATCTGACACCCTTAAAATAGCAAAGGAAATACATTTGGGAAAGTCCTTTCTTAGGTTCCATTTCCTAGTGTCTATTTTGAAATCTATAAAATACATAAAAATTGCACTCCAACTCTTTGCTACATCTTTGCTCAACATAACAGATCAAAGAACTTAAGAGAAAAACACAAAAATATTTTTAATAAGTCACCCTACCTGTGT